CAAACTCTCAGCTAAAGAGAATAATTAAATTAATTGCTGCACATTTGGCAGACTAACATTTTCAGGTTAATTAAACAATAAAATATATATTTTTATAACATTACATGTAAAGAGTCAAGTGGAAGTTTTTCTAAAGTTATTTAATGATATTTATATTATGAAAGCAGATTTTTTTGACATTTTAAGTTTTTTCCCATTATAAGATAAAATAAACGCACAAAACAAAAGCAAATGGCCAGAACACAAAGCTGGAAAACCCACCGGATTGACCAAAATCAACTCAAAATACTCCCACACAACAGAAAAACGCCAGAACAACAGGTGACTCTGGCCAAACGAATCAAGCTTCGACACAGTGCTTCTGAAGCAGTGTGTTGATTTTTTTGACACACGCACCGAAGCGTCAGCTTCAAGCGAGCCATCACTAGTGTCTGATTTCCGTCCTTCCCCTCACATGTGCCGGAGCCCTGGACCCCCCTCCCCTCCCTCCAGCACGTTGTAAATAGTGTCACCTGGTGTCATTTGTGTTAATAAACTGACTGTCTACTCTGCAAGGATTCCCGGTCTGCACCTGAGTCCATTAACTAAAACGTGACAGCTTCTCCATTTTCCATTTAACTGTTGTACACAGGGTTTAGCACATTAGTCGTTTGTATAGGTTTACCCTATATTTTAACAATGTCTCATAATAGGATGACAGGTTTTCAAGCAGGACAAGTGCCTCTATGCACTTAATTAGTTTATATATTTTCCTTATTTGCTTCATCTCATATGTCATTTTACCTAATTTGAGCTACCCTAAGCTTGATGCAGACTACTTCTAGCAATTATCCACCTTACGTCATAACCGACTAAGGTGTCTCCACATAATTATTATTTTGTCGTCATTATTGCTGTTATATATTTATATAACAGCAATAATATATTGCAATATTTCATTTATATTTTATTTTGTAGGGCTGCGGGTGATCTGCAGTTTCACCCTTTCCCAAGTTGGAGACATTTTCCTTTTCACACACTGTCCTCCGCTGAGTGATGACAAACCTTATTATATATAATAATAATAATAATGATAATAATAATAATAATAATAATAATAATAATAATTCATTTTATTTGAGGGCGCCTTTCAGAAACCCAAGGTCACCTTACAAAAGAACAACATTAATAAAAGGAACAGTAGTCATAAATCCTACTTTTTTTTAGGCTAATAATACAATCAGGTTTCTATGATCTCTACTTTGGTATTTATTATTCTCTTTTACTCAATTTTTCACCAACATTCTAAATACTTTGTGCTGCCGCGAGCAAAGTTCTGCATAAACTTCCCGTCTCACTCACTCACACGAACGCACACACACAATAACACAAAATAGGCCTATTGTCAAACACACAGTTCGACTCTGCGGACTTCTCAACTCCCCACAAAGCGGCGGAGAATTTACTCCATACAGTACTCCACAAAGCAGCCTGTACTTCGCTCCCACAAAGCGACGAAAACACTCTGTACATTGTCCCACTAAGCGGCTTTGTACGTCTCCCAACACAGCGGCGACGAGCCCCTACACGTGACACTGGGCTCCACACAGTCCCAGACTGTGGCTTTATCCCACACAGCAGTAAAGACTTCTGTTTGTCACCCCACACAGCGGTGAAACAAAAACAACACAGTCACACGGTTATAGAGTCGCCCTCTTTCAACTTACTTGGTGTTGTTTTGTGCGCAGTATGGGCCTCGGATCCCGTCAATCAGCATTCATCGAGGAGAAGAAAACAGACGCTATATCACCGGACTGGCCATGAATTTACGTTCCAGGTCTTTTCTGCAGGTGTGCCTATGAGTCCTGGCTGACGTCAGACTTCGGCGCATCGTTCTCCTCCTCTGTGAATGTAGATTTTGGAATCCGGCAATCGAAGGACCAATTTATGTTGGGTTTATTAAAGTACAAAACCCTGCTGGAACACAAGACCAATAGCTGCACGACAAAACAAGGCAAGAAGGTGCTCTCTGTGTTTGTGGCTCACGGGGGAAGTCAGCCAAAGTTGAGGAAAAGATTCCTTCACCTGAACTCAGCTCACTTTTTTCTTCCATTCTGTATTATGTTAATGATTTTGTCTACTGTCGCTTTTCAGTTACGATGGATGGCATTTTTTAATGAGCTTAAATTACATTTTGAGTTGAATTCACTGATACTGCAGTACTGATGATGATGAGCCTTTATTTGTCACTACAATGTTACACGTACATGTCATACACGTTATTCTGATCAGTAGC